CACGCTGCTATATATGTGTATACAACACGCTGCTACATATGTGTATTTACAACACGCTGCTACATATGTGTTTATACAACACGCTGCTACATATGTGTATATACAACACACTGCTACATATGTGTATATACAACACACTGCTACATATGTGGGTGTACAACGCGCTGCTACACTAACATTTGATTCAGTGCAGTAACAGACGCCTGTTTCCGATAAATCGATCGGTTCTCCTTTCTTCCGTCCAGATTTTAGCCCTGTCATCTCAAGCGCATTGATCCCTAGGTTCGCCTTCGTCTCGAAAGCATTGGTATTAAATATGTAGCCTTGACTGACTCCCTGCTGTCGAGGACGCCTTGACGTACCGTGTCTCACGCGCCAAGTAGATCTCCAGTACAGAAACATGACCCAGGTAACATTTTGTATGTTTAGTATTTGATAACAGGGGCTCTTTGACTTGTTGTTTGAGCAGGCACAAGTTGGAGGAAACTAATCCGCTTGTCATGGCTCGATGTTGAACCTCGTCAGGATTCCCTTCTCTCTTCCCAGTACCACATACATGTTCGTTCCTTGGTTCTATACAGCGATTGTAGCAGGACTGTCGCAGGTCATAACCATAGATTTACCGATGTTTTATTTTTCTCATTGTTTTATTTAACTAAAATCCCTTGACGTGAAGCAGAGGTAGTTTCATTATTAAAGATTTCTTAACTATGTAAACTATTGAAAAGTTTTGAAAATATTTATTTGTATTCAACTGTAAGGTAGTTATATATATGAATAAGCAACACGATAAATTACACTTGCGTTTACTGCATATATCTTCTGACCACTTGGCCGTCAAAATTCTGAGCCACTGAAAGATTGAGTTATTTATGCGAAGTATATGCAGGGAGACTAAACCAAGATGGAGTGGGCACTACTAACTAGCCCCTTATCTACCCGTGGTCTAGTGGTACAGCGTCCGCCCGGAGAGCGGAAGGTCCGGGGTTCGATCCCCGGCCGCGTCATACCAAAAGACGTTAAAAGATGGTACTTGTTGTTACCCTGTCTGGCGCTCGGCATTAAGGGGCTAAAACAAGGACTGGTCGGCTCGGAGTCAGTATACTGTGTCTGAGTGGGGTATTCATGTTAAACTGCGGCATGGTATCTCAGTGAGCTAGCACTATAAATCGGCATCAGTCCGGACTAGTACAAGCAGCCACACAAAACACACACACGTACATGCACGTCGCTATATAAGTGCAATAATCTTGGACGCGACGTTAAACCCCATTTCACCTCACCTCACGTCACCTTATCTACCATATATTAGTCATGGAAACTACACATGGGTCTTATATAGATTGCCTGGTGTATCGTAATGTGTGGAAGGTGAGGTGAGAAGTACCAACCACACGAGCTCTGATGCTGGGGTCGGTCACATCACGACACAAGCCTGCCATTGTCCCGCACATGGTACGCGCACGTATACACACGCATACTTCTTGTAAGTGATGTTGATTTTACAAATACTGACTGCTGCTTCACGCCCATCTGGTCCTCCGCATTTAAAAGACTTGTGGTCCTGTGCGGTTCATAGATACACGCTGGCTGTGTTCAAGATGGGTTTTTATGCCGATGAATCGTTGCGACGTTGTTGGTGTTTTGTTCAAAATATTGTCGTGCAGTTAGATCGATATATGAAAGGTCTCAGTGACTGCGGTTAGCTACAAAGCAGAATGCTGTCATTGATTTATATACGCAGAAAGGAAAAGAGGAAACAATTGTCACATGAATAGACGTTCACCACTATGTAACACTTCATGCAAAGCTAATTTATTCAAGAATAAACTCACGCTATGCATAATTCGTTCAGAGTAACGTTTTTAAACGATTCAGTACACAGGTGTTTCGAGCTAGTTGCAGCAATAGAGCATGATATGTGGTTGGTGGCAGTAGAAAGATTAATCTACCCATAGAAATATGGAACATTTTTTTACTAAATGAAAGGTCTACCATGCCCTACCAACACATTTAAATTTATTGTAATCTCCATATGTCAAAGTTTCATAAAAAAACGTTTAAATCTTTTCTTTTGGGGATATTAATTACTGTTTGGGCACATAACTGTATGTCCGATAAATTGGTGAACATGTTATGTGGTTGGTGGCAGTAGAAAGATTAATCTACCCATAGAAATGTGGAACATTTTTTACTAAATGAAAGGTCTACCATGCCCCACCAACACATTTAAATTTATTGTAATCTCCATATGTCAAAGTTTCATTAAAAACGTTTAAATCTTTTCTTTTGGTGATTTTAATTACTGTTTGGGCACATAACTGTATGTCCGATAAATTGGTGAACATGTTATGTGGTTGATGGCAGTAGAAAGATTAATCTACCCATAGAAATATGGAACATTTTTTTACTACATGAAAGGTCTACCATGCCCCACCAACACATTTAAATTTACTGTATGTCCGATAAATTGGTGAATATGTTATGTGGTTGGTGGCAGTAAAAAGATTTTTTAATCTACCCATAGAAATATGGAACATTTTTTACTAAATGAAAGGTCTACCATGCCCCACCAACACATTTAAATTTATAGTAATCTCCATATGTCAAAGTTTCATGAAAAAAGTCTATATCTTTTCTTTTGGTGATTTTAATTACAGTTTTGGCACATAACTGTATCTCCGATGAATTGGTGAATATGTTATGTGGTTGGTGGCAGTAGAAAGATTAATCTACCCATAGAAATATGGAACATTTTTTACTAAATGAAAGGTCTACCATGCCCCACCAACACATTTAAATTTATTGTAATCTCCATATGTCGAAGTTTCATGAAAAACGTTTAAATCTTTTCTTTTGGTGATTTTAATTACTGTTTTGGCACATAACTGTATGTCCGATAAATTGGTGAACATGTTATGTGGTTGGTGGCAGTAGAAAGATTAATCTACCCATAGAAATATGGAACATTCTTTTACTAAATGAAAGGTCTACCATGCCCCACCAACACATTTAAATTTATTGTAATCTCCATATGTCGAAGTTTCATGAAAAACGTTTATATTTTTTTTTGGTGATTTTAATTACAGTTTTGGTACATAACTGTATGACCGATAAATTAGTGAACATGTTTATGTGACATGCTGACACGGGAAGAGTTCAGACATGACAGTGATAACGTGTATGCTATCATGGAAATCTTGATCTTTTATAATCTGTTTGGTTGTTGTAAGCATGTGTTGTGAAGATGATTATATCTGAATCCCTCGAGGCTGGGCCTGCGGATCTGCTGAATGAGGTGTGTAGTTCACCTTTTGTGCACAGTCGGTCAATTTGTGTCACCAAGGATCATATGACTTTGGAAGGCATACTTTCTAGACACACGACAGCGTACGCGTAGAGATCAGCTTCAAATGTATTGGTCTGAACATGGCTGTTTTGGGTATTTTCGTGGGGTAAAATCCAAGTGGGTTTTAATACTGCTATGCTGTACTTGTATGGAAGTTTAACCATGGCTTCAATTATTCGTCTATGTTTAAATAAATTCGTGCATCTGGCACCGACAGTTAAGGTGAGGTGAAATGGGGGTTCAAGATTATTGCACTTCTTTAGCGACGTGTATGCATGTGTGTGCGTGCGTGCGTGCGTGCGTGCGTGCGTGCGTGTGTGTGTGTGTGTGTGTGTGCGTGTGTGTGTGCGTGTTGGGGGTTGGGGGGGGGGGGGGGGTTTGGTTGCGTGTACTTATGCCCGTATTATAAAGCTCACCTACTGAAATACCAAGCCACAGTTTACCACGGATACCCCACTGAGACACATAATACTGACTCCGACTCGACCCTTGTTTTATCACCTTTATGTCGAGCGACAGGAACAAGTACCATCCTTTGGTATGACGTGGAGATCGAACCACCAACCTGCCGCTCTCCGGGCAGACGCGCTATCTACTTCACTACGACCTAGAGTTAAAGTGAGTGAGTATTGTTTTACTCCGCTTGTAGAAATATTCCAGCAATATCACGGCGGGGGATACCAGAAATGGGCTTCACACATTGAACCCATGTCGGGAATCGATCCCGGGTCTTCGATGTGACGAGCGAACGCTTTAACCACTAGGCTCCCCGACCGACCCACCTACAGTTAAAAGGTTATAGGGTCACTGTTGGGATTTCTGGCTGAATATGTTCTTATGCATCTCTTCATGCCCTTAATCAACAAAACGGTTGTAGATGTTTCATATTATTTGAATTAGTGACCACCAGGGCCGTCAGTGGTTTATATATTCATGAACGGCCGATCATCATTCCTATGTGATTTGACTGCATCGCACTTTACACTTTCGAACCGGTCCAGGTTCGACCAGCGCATGGTTTTATATGGCTCCGCAATTTGCGATATAAATGTCCATGGTACCTTTAGGGTGTTAATGGTGTTGTCTGAAGTAGTGTCAGAAATTGTTATGAAGGCAAGTTTCAATCATATATCACGTCACTGTAAAACAATTATAGCAAATGCATTCTTGCAAGAACGTTTCTATGTTGAATTAAATTGGAAAATGTATTTAAACATTAACATGAGACGAGACAGCCATTGTCCTAATTAAAACCACTCTGGACAGGGTGCAGTAATTGTGGCCACAGCGGTGGACCATTACATGTCAACTGACTGGTCGGTTCAGACTGGAATATTTACAAGCGGCCGCAGTAACGTTCAGCTTCTCATTTAACTACTACAGTATGTAAAACCATATACCTGGAAAACAGCTGACTATCATAGTGAGTCAATCAGAACATGTGTTGCCATCAGGTATTGTTCATTTACGTGAAGTATAATGATATGTATTCCAATTTAATGAAATGCATTAAACCTTCAAAATTCATCTATGATCGCGAGTATTTATGGTAATCGGCTGTCCTTGAGATAAAATATACCGTATCCCTATACATTAAACAGAACGGCTGATCACACATTTATTTGGCAGCTGATAACTCACAGACTAATGGTTTAGTGTACACAGCTAGCGTCACGTTGTATAGACAGACACTGTAGGGCCCGGAGAGACAGGAGATCTATGCCTGGAGTCCATTATGTGAAGACTATGTGACTGCGATACAAGGTTAAATGTATTTGAGATATCTACGTATCTCGCATCTGAGACATCTATGTCTGCCTCTGGAGCATATCATCTTGTGATGGGAGACGTTTACCTGCCTGAGGAAGACCTGGATATTGAGATCAATTGAGAAACTGGAGACGACATAACGATCAATGTGATATTTTTGAAGAGGGATCACATACACAGCTTAAGAGCGGACATTTAGGGGGGAATGCCTGCTGTTTCCTTTAAAGCATCAGATGTGAGTCCGGCGTGCAGCGAGATGAACGCCAACCCGAAGTCATCACATTGCAGTCACTTTGATCATTAAATCCTGGTAGATGGACACATTGATTCAAGCTATAATCGACTAAAGACAACTTTGGAATATTAATTTCAAATCGGGGAAAGCGAAATAACAACACATTTTATTTGTCAGCTAATCGTTTGAATCTTTGAAGAAAAACTTCATAACATTGAACCATGAATCTGTGGAATCTGGAAGACATCAGAACCTTCAACAACAGAATCGTGCACTGTGAAGCCTGAAAGACAACAGAATCTTGCACTGTGAAACCCCAGACAACAGAATCGTGCACTGTGAGAACCCCAGACAACAGAATCTTGCACTGTGAAACCCCAAACAACAGAATCTTGCACTGTGAAACCCCAAAGACAACAGAATCTTGCACTGTGAAACCCGAAAGACAACAGCATCTTGCACTGTGAAACCCGAAAGACAACATAATCTTGCACCGTGAAACCCGAAAGACAACAGAATCTTGCACTGTGAAACCCCAAAGAAAACATAATCTTGCACTGTGAAACCCGAAAGACAACAGCATCTTGCACTGTGAAACCCGAAAGACAACATAATCTTGCACCGTGAAACCCCAAAGACAACATAATCTTGCACTGTGAAACCCCAAAGACAACAGAATCTTGCACTGTGAAACCCCAAAGACAACAGAATCGTGCACTGTGAAAACTAAAGACAATAGAACCAATACAGCTTTGGAAAGAAACACCTACACCTTGAACTCTAAACCGAAATTGAAACACCACTGGAGTGAAAATCATTCAAAGTTTATAAAACGTCCGCATGGTTGTGTCAGAATACCTGGAATTGTGTTGAAGCAAAAGCATAGTCAACGGGCAAGATAGTCGCTGTGCCATATCATATACCCCGCGCTAGGCATCTACGTGATTTTAAAACAAGTGTTGCCTGTCGATACTAATCAATGCTTCTTTCACCTGATGTTGTCGACGAAAGGAATAGCACGGAAACTATACACGACTTGATATTATAGATTATCAGACAACTGTCACGATAGGAAGCATTCATGCATGTTATTCGGCGCCTCAATGTCATCCCTCACCATGAAGAGACACTACGCCAACACTACGTTAGTCTACCAAAGAGGTATCGTCCTTATGTATTTCTTTCCAAACTATTATACTAAACAATACTCTGGTAATACCACTTTGGTCATGTACACAACCCACAATGTACGTAATGTGAAGGGAGAAGGGAACTGTACCCTTACTTAAGCATTACAAGAATTATCTGAACAGGGCCACAATAACCTTGATCGTGGCGGACGAATGCCAACAGTACATTTTCCCTTCATGTAGAGCAATATTCCTGCAGCTCCAGCCTTCAGTGTTACCATTTATAAAAAATAAAATTGTTATTTTATTTTGTGTGTAGACTCAAATGAAGCGCTTTTGAGCAGTTCTTCGAACTGGATACCAGCGCTTTATAAATCTGTAGTTATTATTATATATTTCACAACTTCTGAGGTACAATGTAGCATGATCTTTGTACCAAGAAGTAAAAAAAGCGTCATAAGACTCTTGCGCAGAAATTGTTTGATCAAGGTTACAACGTTCAAAACCTCAGTAAAACTTTCAAAACGTTTTAGGGAAGATGCCACCAGTGTTGCAGGATACCTCAGCTGTTCGCGAACATCTGGTATCATCCCTATTTGATGGTGAATCACAAACACATGCTCATTACATAGTCTGAATCGTACAGCCAACTCTGCTTTTGGCTGATATCTCTTTATAAATATGGAAACTGGCTTGTCACTGTTATTACCCCTTAACCGTCGTGTAGGAACGCGTTCATGAATGTCATGGTGTGCTTGTGTTTCATGGTTTGTAATGTACAGTAAACTACGGTAATAACGAACACGCTTGTAACGAACTGACGGACCTAACGAACTAACTTTTTAATCCCGACTATTTGATGTAGTTATGCTTTTTATATGCTTATAACGAATTACGGTTATAACGAACTCAAAGGGACTACTAATTTTAGTTCGTTATAACCGTATTTCGTTATAAGCATATGTACAGCATAACTACAGCAAATAGTCGGGACTAAAACGTTAGTTCGTTAGATCCGTCAGTATGTTATAAGCGTGTTCGTTATAACCGTAGTTTACTGTATATACTTGTCTGTGTACGAGGTAAGGCGCCGCCGTCATATAGCTGGGTTTGACAAGCAAGTGAGTGAATGTGGTTTTACGCTGCTTTTAGCAACATTCCAGCAATATCACGTCGTGGGATGCCAGAAATGGGCTTCGCACAATATTGCCATGTCGGGAATCGAACCCGGGTCTTCGGCGTGACGAACAAAGGCTTTAAACGCTAGGCTACCCGACCGCCCCATCAAGCAAACAAACACACGCGGTAAGACAATGTACAATGTCTTCCCCTTTGCTAAAGGGCTATCATTTGCTTCGTTGTATTGTGTCCCTTTGCCGTGTCAGGATCCGCTGGTTTTGAGCATATATTATGAGTATTATTATACTGGTTCAGACACCTGTGCTCGTTGTTTCACCATGGCAGTATACGTGTATGACCTGTGCCAGCGTTAAGCTGACAACCGACACTGTTTTTCAAAATCCGGGGATAGAATAGGTTTTCGGCGACTAAACGGCGACTAACGGGATCAGGAGGTCAGGCTTGCAGAGTTGGTTGATGCATGTCCACGTATCCCAATTGCGTGGATCGATGCTCATGATGTCAATCACTGGACTGTCTGCTCCAGACTCGATTATTTACATATTGTAGTCATATAGCTGGGAAATTGCGGAGTGCGGCGTTAAACAACAAACAAACAAAACAAACTTATACCACATGGAGTTCTCCGCTGAAACAATTGGGATTTCTCATCGGGTCCATTGTTCATCAATTTATGCATTGATCAATGTGTAAATTTGGTATGCAATGTGCAACTTGGTATACAACGTTCAACTTGGTATACAATGTTCAACTTGGTATGCAATGTGCAGCTTGGTATGCAATATGTAACCTGGTATGCAATGTGTTACTTGGTATGCAATGTGCAGCTTGGTATGCAATATGTAACCTGGTATGCAATGTGCAACGTGGTATGCAATCTGTAACTTGGTATGCAATGTGCGACTTGATATGCAATGTGTAACTTGGTATGCAATGTTCAACTTGGGATGCAATATGTAACCTGGTATCCAATGTGCAACTTGATATGCAATGTGTAACTTGGTATGCAATGTGCAACTTGATATGCAATGTGTAACTTGGTATGCAATGTTCAACTTGGGATGCAATATGTAACCTGGTATCCAATGTGCAACTTGATATGCAATGTGTAACTTGATATGCAATGTTCAACTTGGTATGCAATGTGTAACTTGGAATGCAATCTGCAACTTGATATGCAATTTGTAACTTGGTATGCAATCTGCAACTTGATATGCAATGTGCAACTTGGAAAGCAATGTTCAACTTGGTATGCAATGTTAATATTGTACTGATTACATTTAGTTCCGCTGAGGCGATTGGTCTCTAAACCATACCTTAAGTAAACAGTGTGTATATGTACACATAGGAATCTGTCACAGCTTGTCTGTCAAGCTAGATCTCGGTCACCCGTACCAGTCATATACTCCACATCTATTGAATTATTGCCAGTGAGACTTTGTTTACGTCGTTCTGCTGCCAACAGATGTCAAAAACGTATGTACAACACTGTGGCGCGTGTATGTGTACAGGTGCACACATAGACATTGTATTTTATTCGACCAAGGTAATCTAAAGTTTGAATTGTCTTTGATTTTGTGTATATAACATTTCCATTAGAGAACCTTCACACGGTCTATTGGCGTCTTCATGACTGACGAAAAAAATGACAGATGATGTAATGTTTAGATTATCGCCCCTGAAGACAGGTATTGTAAAACAGCCGAAGAAAATGTTATCTGAAATATCTAGATGTGACATTTTAGGATATCACAGAATAATCTTGCTCCGCTTCAGTGAACGCAGGTAGTGTGTTTAAGTCATTACGGATCCTCTTTCTGTTGTGCAGTAGCTTGAATATATAACCTGTGTTTATGGCCTGTCATCAATCTGTACACGTTAAGGTTGGAGTGACTTAAGCTGGCGGAACCGAGGTGAAGCCATACCCTGAGGGCAGAGGTCGATTGGTTGATACCTTCCATTCACAATGTAGTCCCGGGGTATGGAGAACATTCCCGAGGTTTCGGCTTCTTATCGATGAATCAGCATCAGTGTCATCAAGGATGTTAATATCAAAGGTCATGTAGGGACTACCGTCAGTGTTTACAAACAAACATGGCGTCGCTCTTGTCCTTCGGCGATCGAGTCAAAATGACCATCGGGATTCTGGAGAAAGTGATGGGATAATTGCTATCATTGGCATAGTCTAGAATAGTCGAATACGCTTAAAATCTGTGTCTAATAGTGACGTAGTTAGGGCATTTTACGTGTTTTGGCAACTTTCGAGGTATAAATTGCAAATTTAGCGAGGACACTTAGTCTAGCCTTGCGGGTTTCCATATCTGATATGGTAGATCTCTGCCGTAAATATGTCCGAACTGTTAACTTGTTTCGTTTTGTCGCTGTGTGTACGTCTGACTGCACTTCGACACGTTACGACAGGACAGGCACTCAGCCACTCTAAAAAGACTCTGAACAAACATGACGTCTCATAGACCAGGGTTGGAGTAACTTCCATTTGATAAAGGGCAGTTATTCTAGTGTTATTCTAGTTATTCAAAAGCCAAATAGAAGCAATTTGTATAGGTAATTGTTACACCACTGTATGAGAAACAGGTTTCAGTTGGAACTATTTTGACTACTGTCACTGTCCGACTGACACAACACTTACCTTCTGACGTAATATATATCAATACGCACATTCCAGAAACAAATGCAATGTTTAGGTAATATTTGTGAGAGATGGGAAGAGATTTTCAAACACAGAATTGAAGAAATACATTATACGATAAAGAGGTTATCAAACTTGTGTGTTTGGGGATGGTATATATTCTGAATTAGGAATAAACATTGTATTTAGAGAGCTTTGAATCAGCGCCAATGTCATCTAGGTTGTTATTCCCCTAATTAATTCTTCCCATCTCATATACCCAGAAAGTATGATTGCTTTTTAATTTCTCACATTCAATATGGGGTTTACTAGGTTTTTTTATGGAGCGTTCATGGCGTCGAGTATGCTACGATTTATCTCTTGTACTTCTTGTAGGCTGAAGGCCCACTTTCATTTGGCTAGTCTTGAATATCTTGTTCATGTGGACTGGATGCCCACTTTCATTTAGCTAGCCTTTAATCTAGATCTCTTGTTCACGTAGACTCGATGCCCACTTTCATTTGGCTAGTCTTGAATATCTTGTTCATGTGGACTGGATGCCCACTTTCATTTGGCTAGCCTTTAATCTAGATATCTTGTTCACGTAGACTCGATGCCCACTTTCATTTGGCTAGCCTTTCATCTGGATATCTTGTTCATGTAGACCGGATGCCCACTTTCATTTGGCTAGCCTTTCATCTGGATATCTTGTTCATGTAGACCGGATGCCCACTTTCATTTGGCTAGCCTTTAATCTAGATATCTTGTTCACGTAGACTCGATGCCCACTTTCATTTGGCTAGTCTTGAATATCTTGTTCATGTGGACTGGATGCCCACTTTCATTTGGCTAGCCTTTAATCTAGATATCTTGTTCACGTAGACTCGATGCCCACTTTCATTTGGCTAGCCTTTCATCTGGATATCTTGTTCATGTAGACCGGATGCCCACTTTCATTTTGCTAGCCTTTCATCTGGATATCTTCTTCATGTAGACCGGATGCCCACTTTCATTTGGCTAGCCTTTCATCTGGATATCTTGTTCATGTAGACCGGATGCCCACTTTCATTTGGCTAGCCTTTAATCTAGATATCTTGTTCACGTAGACTCGATGCCCACTTTCATTTGGCTAGCCTTTCATCTGGATATCTTGTTCATGTAGACCGGATGCCCACTTTCATTTTGCTAGCCTTTCATCTGGATATCTTCTTCATGTAGACCGGATGCCCACTTTCATTTGGCTAGCCTTTCATCTGGATATCTTGTTCATGTAGACCGGATGCCCACTTTCATTTTGCTAGCCTTTCATCTGGATATCTTCTTCATGTAGACCGGATGCCCACTTTCATTTGGCTAGCCTTTAATCTAGATATCTTGTTCACGTAGACTCGATGCCCACTTTCATTTGGCTAGTCTTTAATCTAGATATCTTGTTCACGTAGACAGGATGCCCACTTTCATTTGGCTAGTCTTTAATCTAGATCTCTTGTTCATGTAGACCGGATGCCCACTTTCATTTGGCTAGCCTTTAATCTAGATATCTTGTTCACGTAGACTCGATGCCCACTTTCATTTGGCTAGCCTTTAATCTAGATATCTTGTTCACGTAGACTCGATGCCCACTTTCATTTGGCTAGCCTTTAATCTGGATCTCTTGTTCACGTAGACCGGATGCCCACTTTCATTTGGCTAGTCTTTAATCTGGATCACACTCTGTAGGTGTCGGATAGATATGTATTCGTTTGTTTGTGTGAAAGAATTTCAAATTGATGTGGCGGGTTAATGATGGCAATCCAAACAATAGAAATTGTATTTTTGTTTCCCCATATCAATGTCATTCATTCTAAACAAATCTAGAAATGCTTGCTGTATATATATTTGTATAACCTTCAATTATTGCAGATAGGAAATACCTATCGGTTTTGTGAGTAATCGCACGCACGCCTATCGACGAAATGCAACGACAGCCGGTGCTTTCATGGGAACCTCCGTTTACACCCTCCAAGTAGCCATTCAAAACGCGTTATTGATGATAATGCTTGTAACAGGCTGTGTGCAGGAAATGTTCACTCAGCCGGTGTTCTTGAAATTCAGATTATTCCACTTTTCATTTGTTTGTTGTCGACTTAATATATATGTGAGTTAGATTGCCAATCTATTTTCCTGGAAATATAGTTAGTATTGTAATGTTCAGCAGAGTAGAACCTCACTCACCACTCACTCACTCAATCAGTCACACACCCCCTCCCCACCCAATCAATCAATCTGTAATGGATTATTAATTGTGAGTGGAAATACAGGAATTTTTCCTAATTCTGTTAATGAAAGAAAACGATGCAACTGTACAGATGACAGTGTGTTTTAACGTGACACTGAACTATTTCGCTTAACGCTTCGCCAAGGACAATTTCAAATACTACGAAAGATACCCTAATTCATTTCACAAACTGAGGATATCTGTCATCTTATTGTGTTGTTATGTTGTCAAACAAGCTGTGCCGGTCACGAGGTTTATTTCTCAGCGAGGACATATTTTCAAAATCGGAAACAGCTGTCCCAATAGTCACTAGGTATTTGAATGGTTGTGCTCAATGTTGGGAATTTACACGTGTATATTGCCTATCTGACGTGTCAGTGATTTGTATGATCACCATGTGGATACCGAAGTGAAGGCATGCAACGTACAGTGGTTAAGGCGCCCCGTCTTGGACCTCTCTATTGTACACATATGCGCATTCAGGACATACACTGAACTGGATATTTACAGACAGACATACGTCAAGGATATTCAAGGTTTCTGTTGAATGCTTTTTTAGTTGAGAAATTGTGCATGTTTATCCCCTTTGACTAATATTTGTTACATTGTTTTTATTGTTCGGGATGCTGTCAGTATTATCATGACGTCATATCAATACATTGTGTCATAGTTTGATATGAGTGAGTGAGTGAGTTGGGTTTAACGCCGCTTTAAACAGTATTCCAGTTATATCGCGGCGTGTCAGCTTAATGTGGGAGGAAAGCCCGAAGTGATGCAGGTCTAAGACGTTTACCACTTCGGTGAAACCCAGGAGCACGGGTATGGTGCTGACAAACCTAGAAACATAATCGGGGCGAACCGGGATTCGAACCCACAATCATAGGTTTCTGGCGTGTTCAAGGGACGCAACACTGCACAGCGAATTGCGGCGCCTTAGACGACTGGGCCACCCGTGCCCCCGTTTGATATGTAAAGCTTGATATGACGTCATCCACAGTTCGAGGCCGGCGTTATTGAAGATTGTATAAATGAAGATGTGCCGTCTGACATGTATTTGTTTTGGCTGCACAAAACCATTTTCTCACAATGTTGTTAAAAGTTATAATAGAAACATTATGAACTCGTTACTCAGAAATACGGAGAATCTCTGCGCCTTATGAATTGATGTATGATGTACATATATAATGTCTATTCAGTATGTCACATCTGCTGTGAGTCCTTCATAGTGGGTGAGGTGAGGTGAAATTGGGTCAAACGTTGCGTCCAAGATTATTGCACTTATATAGCGACGTAAATGCACGTGTGTGTGTGTGTGTGTGTGCGTGCGTGCGTGCGTGCGTGCGTGCGTGCGTGCGTGCGTGTGTGTGTGTGTGTGTGTGTGTGTGCTGAGATGCCATGCCGCAGTTTAACATGAATACCCCACTCAGACACAGTATACTGACTCCGAGCCGAACAGTGCTTGTTTAAGCCCCTTATGCCGAGCGCCAGACAGGGCAAAAACAAGCACCATCTTTTAACGTCTTCTGGTATGACGCTCTTCCACTAGACCACGGAGGCCGTCTTTCCTTCATAGTATATGTGGTACATATACTGCATGTATCATATATGTCTTCATATAATAACAAGCACACTATATAGGTCACCATATTTACATATGGTGTTATGTACACGTCATGAAAACAGAGTAAAAACTTGAAAATTAGATTTAACCAAACAATTACAAACGTTATTGGAACGTAATTAGGCTGAAAACATCCGCCATCAAACAAAAGTGTATACTCCCTTATGTCCATCATATATATTCAACGTGCCATACAGAATTGAAACACATACTGTATTGATTTCAGGTCTGAACTAATAAATGTGTTTTCGATACATACTAACCACCTCAAACCTTCTGTCTGCAGGCGTGAAGCTGTTCGTCAGTTCTACACCCAGTATGTTGCGGCTCCGGATCAAGAGGCTCGTCATGGCCATAATGGCGGCGTTGTTCGTGCTTGTAGTGTTACGGGCGAGTATCGGCAGTTCCGGTTCCGGTCACACTTACGTCCCCAACAGCGAGCCCGCAGGGTTTCAGGATTTAGCTGGTAGTCATACGGTCCTGGAGCCGCTTATCATACACAAGAATATGGAACCAGTGCCCCCAGAGGAAGAACCTCGGCAGACAGAAAAGAAACCAGAGAAGAAGACAGAAGTGGAGAAGAAAATGGCGAAAGTTGACCCGGCGGCCCCCGATGATGTCATGTCAATGGTGAGTGATGTCACACACTCGATCAGTTGATGAGTGAGTGAGTTTGGTTTTACGCCGTTTTTAGCAATATTCCAGCCATATCACGGCAGGGGACACCAGAAATGGGCTTCACACTACTCGATCAGTCGTGTTATTGCTGGAATATTGCTAAAAGCGGCGTAAAACCATACACACTCACTCACTCACTCAGTAGCCGTGGACATGTATTACCGAACATTGAGCTGTGGGCATATATGCAGTGACACATGGCCATTTGCATGGGTTGCTGAAGACCTATTCTACCCCGGATCTTCGCAGGTCCCATATAGTTGTGAACTCTTAAAATATCTAATTATTGGAGATAGAGGATATCAAAATTTCCACTCGATCCAGCACTTTAATAATTTTTTTCTTTAATTCCAAACTTCACAAATACCATATAACATATTTCCATAAATTCAGTAATTATTCACACACTGATTGAATGATCTATCACACACTCCAAGAAAAAGTTCTAATATAAAGAACAGTTGCAAGGATATTGCAGGACAGTTGCAAGGCGATATACAGTACAGTTGCAGCACAGTTGTGGGATAAATGCAGGATAGTAACTTAGACAGTAGCTTGGACTGGTTGAAAAAACGTATGTCCCCCATTCCCCTAACACAATCCTTTTACACTCTCTTAGAAATATGTCTCACTTCTTTCATATCTTAAAATTCTCTGCTCTCTTTCTCAAACTCAATCGTCCAACTGTATGTCTTAAATTCTTGGTGGAATACTTATCGCTGTTGATCAGGTCACGACCTCTAGGACTCCACACAAGACAATTAACTTTTAAGTCTTAGCTGCAACATTATACTATTGCTGTCACCAACCCCTGGGAAAATAGCCTGAGACGTCCGCTGGCAGCTAAGGCTGGCTGATTCTTATGTTTTAGCTTATAACTATAATAATAAGCAGAAGAAGAAGAAGAAGAAGAAGTGCACTTATAATGCGCCAGATTCCATTCACCAAGTGGATGCTCATAGCGCTACACTATTATTACCCCGGTCAATGGATCAGTGAGCACTCGATTTTCATTATCAACTCCCTGGGGAGTATACAACCCAAGCTGCCTGTGAGGCGCTAGAAGGTTAATAGTTGCACACACGTACACAGTCAAACCCTAACAAAGTTACAATAACAATGTTTTTCTATGTACTGCAAATACCAAAAATCCGGCTCTAACAATAGTATTACTGGGCGTTTTTCGTGGATGAAAATCTCAACCTATCACCATAAGCCATATTTTATTATCCTGAATATTAACCTAAATCACTTTTAGAAAACACAAGATATCTCGTAAATAAGGTTTTTTTCACATAGTGAGAAAGTATGTCTGCCGAACGTCTGTAAGGCTGCGTGTTCAGGATTGTCAATAGTTGATGTCACCTAAAAGGGCGTGATTTCTTAATAATTAATTATTTGACGACAGGGAACAATGAAATATTTGAAATATATCATTCTATTAACCGAGCGCATTTATATCAGACTGTATGTATCAGTTGATTAATATTGCAGATAGTATATACTGTGCCATAAAGGATTATTTACTATCCATATAAATCGTTGATAGAAGTTGGAATGGTAAATTTTCAGACACAACCAAATCTGCTGTCCAACTTTAAGAACCCATGCTGGCGGGAGACAAATGGTCCTATCAGCAGGGTGCGCTGTTTGCCCTACTTTCATCTGATTGGTGTAGACAAGAGTGGCACTACTGACCTCTGGTACAGACTGAGTCAACATCCTGACCTCGTCAAACCGAACGCCGTCCTGGGCAAGGAGACTCACTGGTGGTCGTGGCGCAGGTTTGGTGAGTATGGTCCAGATCCTGGTGACGTGTAGGCCCTGAAAGCAATGTCGTCAATTACTGCAGGTTTCTAATATAAGGATCATCCATGGCCCCTGTGATGTTTAGTTTGTGTCTCGGCAGGTACTGACGCCCGTATAAGGCTCGAACCGGGGATAATGAGAGGTCATATTTTTGGGATAATCGAGAAAGGTTATTTTCTGATGTTTTTTGTAATTATAAAACGCCAGAAAATAACCTTTCACGATTCTCCCCGAAACAGATTCCATTTGGCGTAAAAGGAGAAATAGCTGTGAAAAATTATGTGAATGAATCGCTGAAAATCAGTGATGACACCAGGTGTTCGCAAATACGCCATCTCGGAGAATTGAGGAAGTGTATTTCTGGGATACTGCTTGAACATGGGCCAGAGTGTCCGGCTAGTGGGAAGGACTCAGATGACATAAAACTTAGTGACGTACCTGTCACACTTGTATAGCATATAGTTACGTTAACAGATATAGGTAACATGCACATGCTCAACCAACACACTGAAAACTCGATTTTCCGTCTTTTTCTCTTTCAGGTTTTGATATTTGGGTTAACAATGCTCGTATTCAACATTTCAACGAATATTTGAGTGCATTCGACAAGCCGGCTTTGCAGATAAACTCGACAACGCAAGCGTCGCACGGTATCCCCGACTACCACCAGCTTGTCACAGGTAGGACTGGGCTCCGTCTTCATGTACCAGAACAGAGGCAGTGGTTGTTTGTCTTACTTCACATGTCTAACTAATCTCATTAAAATCAGATCTTAGTTCTCGCTGATCTGAGGACATCCCATTAAGGGTTACGTCAGAACGACCTTTCATCCAACCAATCAGAGCGTCGCTTACCAGATCATGAAAGTGACAGTCGGAATGTGTTTTCTAATCATGCAACCACGAAATATGTTACACGGGTATTCCGAACGACAGTTACAATCTAGGCCATCTATAAGCCATTCCAGAATATTCTTCTTATCAGTTTTATTTTTTTTATTCGAGAATACAACAAAATATGTTTCGAAGCGTAGTCGCCAGTTTGAAACTAGTGTCGTAAAGCTCGAGAAAGCTGCCTTCTGATTGGCTAATGTCGATTTCTTGTCGGTCATTTCATTGGTCGGTCAAAATTCGCGAAAGGTCGTTCTGACGTGTCCCGTGATGAGATGTCCTCAGATCTTTGTTTAGCGGTAGCGAAAACTATGAAGTTTTTAATGAGATTGCATGTTTAACATGCAGTAGCAGGTATTATTAGGTTCCTTCACTGTGTAATGCTGCTGTACTGTTGTCGCCAGGCGAGGGTAGCCCTACTGTGTTCTGGGACATGACCGGATGGAACAGGATCCCCCAGAACAATGACAAGACGATGGACACCGCCTTACTGACGCCCCACTGTATCCACCACCTCACACCGAAGGCCAAGTTCCTCATCATCTTCAGGAACCCCACAGACAGGTGCGTCATGCATAGAACACATTTCTACTGATCTACTGATGCTCATGATGTCAACCACTTGGTTGTCTGGTCAGGACTAGATCATTACACACCGCGGTTTTACAGCTAGTACATTGTTGAGTGCAGCTTTAACAACAAACAAACAAACGGTAAACGTACTGCCACCTGCCTACCACATAACCCTACCTAATATCCGACCCGTGAAGATCCAGGGTAGAATAGGTCCTCAGCAACCCATGCTTGCCGTAAAAGGCGACTATGCTTGTCGTAAAAGGTGACTCGCGGGACTGGGTGGTCAGGCTCGCTGACTTAGTTGATGCATGTCATCGTATCCCAATTGCGTGGATCGATGCTCATGATGTCAATCACTGGATTGTCTAGTCCAGACTCGATTATTTACAGACTGCCGTCATATAGCTGGAATATTGCTGAGTGCGGCGTTAGGCAACAAACAAACAAACAAACAAACAAACCTAATAGCCATCCTCATTATAAGACTAGCTGAGCGTGTATTGAGCACGGAACAGTTCCACCTGAAAGTATGTGATCATGTTGGCAGTGCAGGATCGATGACCTAGGAGCTCATCTATTTTTGGATTTAAGTGTAAACGTTTGCATATAGATTTCGCATTAGCCTGACATAACAATATACTGGCGCGACGTATAGCGAGCGGTACACCGGCAGCTTTATGTTGGAATGTTCTGCTGGCCGTGGATGCTTGTCACTTTGATGATGTTATCCTAAGGTATTGGTTTGAAACAGACAATGAGACAGGCGAATCTGGTAGTCCAGCTCACGAACACGGGAACCTTCAAGTCTCCTACAGTAATGTTGTCAGGTTTAGCTTACAGGTCAGCTTAAAAGTATATTCCAGAAAAGAAAGGTCCTCCAGTATTAGTGTCAGTGTCCGCTAGACATGCTTTTGATGCTGTAGACTGAAAATAAAATAAAATAATACACAAACAAAATTTGTATGTTCCGAAGCAGGGGCCGAAAAGTTATACCCCCCCCCCCCCCCCCAAATATGGTCAGTGCCATTGTTAGCTTTTTATGTTTTGGGGATTGTTTGTGCATGATCAGTGGATATTTGTGTTTGAACAAATGTTCAGTAATAGATATTACGCAGATTACTTCGTATGAGCATATACGTCAATATAGTTGATCACAGCTGTTTCTGGCTTTCGGTAGGTTTTTCATTTGGTATCGAAGCATGGCTGGAAAAAATTGCTCTTTAAGCATGACTAAAGCTTCAATTATCGGTGTTTTTAAGGCCGTGTTCTATCAGATAAGGCAATACTCACGGCACAGTCTAACCGCTGTGCGTGAAGTATGTCATGCATATGTAAGTACTATACATGTATATTAGTACATCATATAAACCAAGCCGAGTGTTCGTTCTCCCTGTGGCGTTGTGTCTATCATGCATTAATATGAAACCTGTAAGCCCCGAGGCGTTGTGAATAGCATACATTATATGAAGCTGTGCTTCCGGGGAGGGGGCACGGGTGGCTTAGTCGTCTAAGGCGCGACTAGTCGCAAGGCAGAGTTGGGTTCGAATCCCGGTGCGCACTGATTATGTTTCTAGGTTTGTCAGAACCATACCCGTGCTCTTGGGTTTCATCGAAGTGGTAAACGTCTGAGACCTGCATCACTTCGGGCTTTCCTCCTACATCAAGCGGACACGCCCTGATATATATAACTGGAATACTGTTAAAAGCGGCGATAAACCCAACTCACTCACTCACACACTCACTCATAACCTGGGGCTTTGTGTATATTATGCATTACATAAAACCTGTTCTCCCCAGGAAATTCCGAAACCAATATAAATTGAAGCGCTCCTTCACAATGTGTCAAATATTATCCAATCATCTGTACGAGTGGCTTCATGGCCAGACTGTACGAAATAAATTCTGTTGTGTATAAAATTCCCCAAAATTCCAGTCAGACAACCGGACTGGCAACTTTGCAAAGATACCAGGCCAGATGAAATGTTGCCAGTCCAGAATTTTCTAGACTAACGAAAACAAGGGAACAAAAGGGTAAAAATAAGGATGGTACTGTTTAATGTAAGTTCCAGAAAATGACAATAAGCTGGTGGATTGACAACTTAGTAACTTTAATTCCCGACCATCGGGCGTACAACTTTTCAAAACTGACCGTCCTTCAACAAAATAGACCGTCTCGGGCTGTCGGGTCGACGGGTCGTTTAACTCCTTCAGCAAAATAGACCGTCTCGGGCTGTCGGGTCGACGGGTCGTTTAACTCCTTCAGCAAAATAGACCGTCCCGGGCTGTCGGGCAGACGGGTCGTTTAAACACTGATATCATACATCATTTGTTGTGCTCTCTTTCCAGGCTGTATTCCGACTACCTGTTTCTGCAGCTGTACCGTGCGCACAAGAAGCCACTGACAGCCCAGTCTTTCCATACAGACGTACAGGAGTCGCTCCTCATGCTGAAGCAATGCCAAGACCAGCACACTCTCAAAGAATGTCTTTTTAATAAAACTTTACATATGAACATACCGGTGAGATATTTCGAAGATTTATAAATAATATCTAGTTAGAAGCATTTGAACAGTTTACGTCCCAGAGATATGAATGTGAAGATTTGCGTCTTAGAATTTAATGTGAAGTGAAAGGGTCTGCGCGGAGTTTGCCATATCATAAGAACCAGGTCGTCTTTTTCCAACCTTGTGAGTGTTGTAACTTTAAAATGTCCCGTACTTCAACATGTCCCGTACTTCAACATGTCCCGTACTTCAACATGTCCCATAATTCAACATGTCCCATAATTCAACATGTCCCGTCTTTTAACATGCATATGTCCCGTACTTCAACATGTCTCGAACCGCAACATGTATCATACTTCAACATGTCACATACTTCATCATGTCCCGTATTTCAACATGTCTCGAACCGCAACATGTCTCATACTTCAACATGTCCCGTATTTCAACATGCCTCGTACTTCAACATGTCCCGTACTTCTACATGTCTCGTACTTCAACATGTTCTATACTTCAACATGTCTCGTACTTCAACACGTCCCGTACCTCAGCATGTCTCGTACTTCAACATGTCCCGTACTTCAACACGTCCCATACTTCAACATGTCTCGTACTTCAACATGTCCCATACCTCCACATGTCCCATACTTCAACATGTCTCGTACTTCAACATGTCTCGTACTTCAACATGTCCCATACCTCCACATGTCCCATACTTCAACATGTCCCGTACTTCAACATGTCTCGTACTTCAACATGTCCCATACCTCCACATGTCCCATACTTCAACATGTCTCGTACTTCAACATGTCCCGTACTTCAACACGTCCCATACTTCAACATGTCTCGTACTTCAACATGTCCCATACCTCCACATGTCCCATACTTCAACATGTCTCGTACTTCAACACGTCCCATACCTCCACATGTCCCATACTTCAACATGTCCCGTACTTCAACATGTCCCGTACTGCAAAATGTCTCGTACTTCAACATGTCCCATACCTCCACATGTCCCATACTTCAACATGTCCCATACTTCAACATGTCCCATACTTCAACATGTCCCATACCTCCACATGTCCCATACTTCAACAAGTCCCGTACTTCAACATGTCTCGTACTTCAACATGTCCCATACCTCCACATGTCCCATACTTCAACATGTCCCGTACTTCAACATGTCCCATGCTCTGACATAATCGATGGGCTAAGGTCGTATGTTCGGGACATTTCTAGAGAATTGATTTCCGTTCTGTTTTATTAAAGCAAATACAGACACACCCAGCTGCCATTATTGCCAATCGATACACGTAACAGCTGCCTTGTTTGCGAGTTGTAATGCGATAACCAGCTCGTCCTGTTTTTTTTCATGAGATTATCAACGCCGAAAGGCTGTTGTTAAGAATATACGCAGACAAAAAGAACCATTTATCAAACCCGTCAGTACGGAATTAAAGATGCAATTGGTGAGTTTGCTGCACCACCTGCTGTTTTGAGATGCCATGTAGATCCATTGATATCCCAAGCCATGAAAACATGAAGTCGACAGCAAGCCCAGGTGCATCAATACAATACATGGTCGTGCTGTTTATGTTTTCTAAGCTTCTCGCCTTAACACTCTAATCAATAGGTTTCTACAGCCACGCCTAGGTCAATCAATGCTGCAGCCACCAACTCACTATATGAGTGAGTCACTGAAAATGTAGGTATCGGCTGGTACCGACTGTTGTGCTGTAGTAGATACTGTTGTATGTCCTTGCCCATATGTCTCAAGTAACCCTTGACGAGGAGACAAGTAGGATGATGATGGTGATGATGATGATGATGATGATGATCTGCTGTAGTATTAGTGTCACCAGCCATTTCATGTTTGTGTCAATGTCATTGATCGAGTGATGTTAGTGTCACGTTAGTGTTAGTGTAAGTGTCACGTTAGTGTCATTAGCCGAATGATTTAAGTGTCACATTAGTGTCAGTGTCATTAGCCGAATGATGTTGGTGTCACTTTAGTGTTAGTGTCACTAGCCGAATGATGTAAGTGTCACGTTAGTGTTATTGTAAGTGTCACGTTCGTGTTAGTGTCATTAGCCGAATGATTTAAGTGTCACATTAGTGTCAGTGTCATTAGCCGAATGATGTTGGTGTCACTTTAGTGTTAGTGTCACTAGCCGAATGATGTAAGTGTCACGTTAAGGTTAGTGTCATTAGCCGAATGATGTTGGTGTCACTTTTGTGCTAGTGTCACTGGCTGTATGATGTTAGTGTCACTACCCGAATGATGTTAGTGTCATTGTAGTGTCAGTGGTGTTAGCCGTATGATGTTAGTGACACTTCAGTGTTAGAGTCACTGTTCTTGTCATGTCAGTGTGTGTTCTGTAAAGCACGAGTTCATGGATTCATTTTCCGCTCCAGGTTCGTATTCCTGTAAGTTTCTATGCTGTGTACCTGAAAGAGTGGTTTAAAGTCTTCCCAAGAGAAAATTTCCTTATCCTGAGGAATGAGGACTACTCCAAAGATATACGGGGACACGTAGAAAAAGTGTACAACTTTTTGGAGTTTAGTAAGTATTCTATCTATTGCCATTTGGGGAATATTTTACAGAACGAATAACATTTTGGATGAATATATGTTCAAACATATGGCTTGCTTGCTTGTTTGTTGTTTAGCGCCGCACTCAGCAATATTCCAGCTATATGACGGCGGTCTGTAAATAATCGAGTCTGGACCAGACATCCAGTGATTGACATCATGAGCATCGATCTACGCAACTGGGATACGATGACATGCATCAACCAAGTCAGCGAGCCTGACTACCCAATCCCGTTAGTCGCCTTTTACGACAAGCATAGTCGCCTTTTACGGCAAGCATGGGTTGCTGAAGACCTATTCTAACCCGGATCTTCACGGGTCTCAAAAATATGGGAACGTCAGCGTGTGTTGGTGATAGATGGGCAGATGCTGATGGTGTGTTTATGGTACGCTCACTAACAATCAATATGGTACGCTCACTAACAACCAATCAGTCAATCAGTTAATCCATATTCTATAGATAGTAACATACCATGAATACATTTCTTTACAGGTAAACTTCCTGATCAAGAGTTGAATCGCATTGCCAATATGTCCCGCGCCTATACTCGCAACAAGCAGCATCAAGCAGCGGGAGAAATGTTGGGCGAAACTCGAGAATTGTTAAACAACTTTCACAAGGATCTTAACATAGACTTGGCGCAGCTTCTTCAGGATGACCGGTTCAAATGGACTGATCCAGTGTTGAAATAAGTGTTGAGGCTTATATTCTGTATGAATGATAACGATGGATGTGTCTGGGAATTACCGTGTCGCGTGTGGTGAACCTTTGTGGTATAAGGGAGGTAACTCTGAAAATATATTTATAGCGACTCTTGGTGGTGCAGTCAGAATTCAGATCACACACAAATTTCACAGCACTGGATTCATTCCGATGTTCTCACGTGTGTGTTACGTGCATGTTAAGGTTACAGTGTGTTTTAGTGACACCTTACATGTACATCTGTGTAAGAAGGAGCAGCTACATTGCTTCGAGAGGGAGAACTGGTTCAAGTGATGTTTCGATGCAATACTTGCATCTTGGGACTGAATCCTGCATCTTGCATCTTGGGACTGAATCCTGCATCTTGCATCTTGGGACTGCATCCTGCATCTTGCATCTTGGGACTGCATCCTGCATCTTGCATCTTGGGACTGAATCCTGCATCTTGCATCTTGGGACTGCATCCTGCATCTTGCATCTTGCATCTTGGGACTGCATCCTGCATCTTGCATCTTGGGACTGCATCCTGCATCTGCTGTTGTGTAATCACTATGGGTTCACGGTGGATTCAACACGATGTACATGTGTATACTGAAGCAGGTGGACTAAGTCAAGCTGCTATCACTACATCGAATGTACTAAGTCTTCGTGATATACAGGGAACACAATATACAGTAAGATGTTCTACATTTTCCTGTATCGTGACGGGATGGTTTTTTATTGGGGTTGCTGATTTTGTTCAAAAGGTACCCTGATGTATTTACGTTTAATGTACATTCATTGTTTTCCTTGAAAGCCGACTGGCTAAAGGAGATCCCACCAACAGATTTGTTTGATATCAGGGATTTAGGAAATCAGAGGGTCAGACAAAACTTTGTTCTTACCTATGCGAATCAGAAATTCCCGACTAAACAGTCTCTTATGAGGCACAGGAACTTGTCCCTAGTTGATTGTGTGACACTGAGATTTCAACATCCCTTCCTCGCCTATGGTGAGATATAGGTGTGACAAAAGACATTCCCTGGCCTATGGTGAGATATAGGAGTGACAAAAGACATTCCCTGGCCTATGGTGAGATATAGGTGTGACAAAAGACATTCTCTGGCCTATGGTGAGATATAGGAGTGACAAAAGACATTCTCTGGCCTATGGTAAGATATAGGAGACAGACATTCTCTAGTCTATGGTGAGGTCTGAGATGAGAGTAACTGCTGAAACTCCACTTTAGTGAAACAGGTTGAGAATGTTTGGATTACTATTAAACCTTTAGCCAGTATTTGAAAACATCGTGATTTAATTTCTGAACTGTGTTTCTTGCATAAGAACCAGAAAATGCTAGCATAAGGCTTTTGTCTCTTGTGTTCGGTGCAAACACTGCTGTATGGATTGGGACCACCCAAATTATATTGAAGATTTACGATATGCCCACGAATGTATCTAGAATAATACTAAGCCTATTTATCGGTGTTCTGGAGGGTTATGGAGCAACGTTTAACGGATATATGTACCGATATAGTGCCTATTCTTCCCCTGCAAACTACCAGATAGAAATGATCTGACACATTGAAATTGAGTGCCTTTTTAATGTCCAAATGTCACCAAAAGATGTATGTATATATCGAATATTTAAAAAAGACTTATATGTTTGTCTTTGTTGAAGCGTTTCATTTACAATTTATCATACTTTGCATCTGATCTCACCAAAAGATTACATGGCAGTCCACATGTAAACGCCGGTACATACTACTACAGCACCGTTTCAATTAAAAGATCTCTTCTTCCTTAATCGCTAAGCAACCCATGCTTGCCGTAAAAGGCGACTGGCTTGTAAGAGGCAACTAACGGGATCGGGTGGTCAGGCTCGCTTATTTGGTTGATGCATGCCATCGTATCCCAATTACGTGGATCGATGCTCATGAAATTAATCACTGGATTGTCTGGTCCAGACTGGATTATTTACAGACCGCCCTCATATAGCTGGAATATGGCTGAGTGGGGCGTTAGACAACAAACAAAACAACCTCCAAATACGGATACTTTCTTTACATCGAAAGGGAACTTTGAATGAGGATTACAGAGATAGCCCCCCCCCCAAAAAAAAAACAAACAACAACAACAACAAACCCCCCCCCAAAAAAACAAAATAAAACAAAACAAAACAAAAACAAAACAAAAACAACAAAAACACCCCCTAGCAACCGGTACCGGGTTTTGGTCTTAATATTGAATTCTTATTCAAAGTTCACTTGCGATGACTAAAGGTATACGTATTAGAAGATCCGTGGTTAAGGAGTGAGTATGTTTTTACGCCGCTTTTAGCAATATTCCAGCAATATCACGGCGGGGGACACCAGAAATGGGCTTCACACATTGTACCCATGTCGGGAATCGAACCCGGGTCTTCGGCGTGACGAGCGAACGCTTTAACCACTAGGCTACCCGACCGCCCCGTGGTTAAGGAAGAGATAGGTATACATGTGTGTACATATTGTGTGATGAGAACCAACGAGGATGTAGTGCGCACTAATTTGTAGTCGTAAGTTGGCAGACAGTTCCTACAGTGCCATCCGCAACCCAGTACAGACAATAAATGGTTACATTATTAATATTATATAATGTTTTCATAAGTTCATCACGGATCAGAATTATTTAAAATATTTGAAAATTGGAATATAAAACAGCTCAAAACATTGAAACAATGAAGTGATACTGTAGTCGTAGATGTGTTATACTTGATGGTTGAAGGACAATTAAAATGATATTATTCATTCTCGTGTGCTGTCATTTTCTAAATATTTTGAATAATTCTGATCAGTGATTGAATCTATGATAACATTTTGCCTCGACACGAGACACGCGCCCAACACGCCAACATAAAGAATGTGTACATGCTTCGTCCTAATTGTGCAGACAGCCAAACTGAAGCACGTGCTACACCAACGTACGGTCGAAATTATTCCTCTTTGCGCCACTGGCATTTATGTGTTTGTTTGTTTGTTTGTTTGTTGTTTAACGCCGCACTCTACAATATTCCAGCTATATGACGGCGGTCTGTAAATAATCGAGTCTGGACGAGACAATCCAGTGATTGACATCATGAACATCGATCCACTCAAATGGAATACGATGACATGCAACAACCAAGTCAGCGAGCCTGACCACCCGATCCCGTTAGTCGCCTCTTACGGCAAGCATGGGTTGCAGAAGACCTTTTCTACCCCGAATTTTCACGGGTCGGTTTTAATGTGTATGTGCATAAGACGGATACTGTACACGAAGTCAGTGCAGGAAAGTCAGGTGCCTGCCTTTGTATGTTGAATCACAGGCATATTCTACATGTAACCATCAAAATGGTAATTCTATTCTGCAAGTTGTATACCTCACTCATAAAATATATATATTCATAGAAGCTTATTTAATATGAGTGTGCAGCAAAGAGCAAGCAGACTTCTAGACCAAGCACATACCTTTGGCAATTGTGTGTGTCTTCAGACTGATGTATAAATGTTGACACCGCCAGTTTCCTTGTGAGAGCTAGTAGCTAGCGGAACAAGAAGGCGGCTCCATTCAAAGGAATCCGTGACGTCTGGGAAGATCATTCAGGATATTTCTGAAACACGTGTATTTGCATATTGAACATAAAGCAGTTTTGAATGCCATTCAGTGATTCAGTTTTATTGCCTTATATTATACATAATATAATTATACATATTACTATTTAACAATTATATGTACATGAGTTTTACAAAGAACACCCCGGGTTCGATTCCCGACATGGGTACAATGTGTGAAGGCCATTTCTGGTGTCCCCCGCCTTGATATTGCTGGAATATTGCTAAAAGCGGCGTAAAACCATACTCACTCACTCACTCACTCACTACAAATAACACCAGAATGGAGGATTGTGAAAGGTGGAAATGAATGAGACAATAGACTGAGGGGCAAAAGAATGAGTGAGTGAGTTGGGTTTAACCCCGCTTTTAACAGTATTCCATTTATATCGCGGCGTGTCAGCTTAATGTGGGAGGAAAGCCCGAAGTGACGCAGGTCTCAGATGTTTCCACTTCGGTGAAACCCACGAGCACGGGTATGGTGCTGACAAACCAAGAAACATAATCGGGGCGAACCGGGATTCAAACCCACAATCATAGGTTTCAGGCGTGCCCAAGGGACGCAACTCTTCACGGAGAATTACGGCGCCTTAGACGACTGGGCCACCCGTGCCCCCTTATGAACTGTAAATGTAGTATATTGAATAGAAGGATTTAAGAAGGTATGTACCATTAGAACACACCAAGAACTGTAGTAGACTAAGTGCATTTCTTACGTGTCGATTTCCAAACTGAAACAAAAGTTAATCAAGAAATCTATACGTAAAAGAATTCAGTGGGAAACCATCAAATAACGAAGAAATGTTATAAATTAACAATTGTATGATTAAATTAAGTAGGTTTACAAATCAATACAAATTACTTCAAAGCAATTAAAATGACAGTACAAAATAGAGTGGCAGTATAAAATACAATAGCAGTGGTAATAGCAATTAAGTCGTGCTTTACGCATGTTGCTTTTATACATTTGAGTTTTCCATTTAATGCATGCTTTTCTTAACGCAAGTTAATTGAAAGTAATTGGGCTTGAATATTGTTGGGGGTATTTTACGCAAATACGCTGCTTATCTGCAGCTCTGAAGTGCCACATAATACTAGATTAATCTATAGCTTTTCTAGAAGATTCCCGGTTACACTTCACTCCAAAAGCACCAAAATATTGTAATTTCCACACCACTGCTTTCATTAGATAGAAACACACTCTTGACAACTAATTATTGTTAAAACAAAATATTATGAACCTCAACGGAATCTTAACAGAAACCATGTACTACAATTGCAACATTGTTTAAGAATAACTTACACTGGCATAAAGTACATTATCTTCAAAGCAGGGCCCATGAAGAGGTTATTAGAATAAATGTTATATTTTTTTGTAACATTCTAAGCTTATATTCAATAGAATTTAGTGTCAATAGCCTACACCTGAGCAGGTAGATTCGGATGAATGATGGACTGTTTCATACAAGATGACATTCTGGGTTATATATATCATTTACTGACAACGCACTAGGCAAGGGCACAGAGGGAGTAGCTGAAATAAAGTAACACTCCCTGTCACTCAAGTGAAATGCGTGACCTCTGAAGGTGTTCGAGGAGTGGTCTTTGTTGGGTCGAGTGTTCCACTCACATGGTTGGACTGGATTTATAGTGTATCTGAACATGACCGTATTGCATCTGAACATGACCGTGGTGTATCTGAACATGACCGTATTGTATCTGAACATGACCGTATTGTATCTGAACATGACCGTGGTGTATCTGAACATGACCGTAGTGTATCTGAACATGACCGTAGTGTATCTGAACATGACCGTAGTGTATCTTAACATGACTGTAGTGTATCTGAACATGACCGTATTGTATCTGAACATGACCGTGGTGTATCTGAACATGGCCGTAGTGTATCTGAACATGACCGTAGTGTATCTGAACATAACCGTGGTGTATCTGAACATGGCCGTAGTGTATCTGAACATGACCGTGGTGTATCTGAACATGACCGTATTGTATCTGAACATGACCGTGGTGTATCTGAACATAACCGTATAGTATCTGAACATGACCGTGGTTTATCTGAACAAATATCATGGAGTATACTGAAGGTATAGATATATATTGCATCAGTTAGGTTGTATATTTCATGAATAGGGCATACATCGTATTAAATAGTATGATGTATATTTCATGTTGGGGGCCTACATTTCATCAGTTATCATGTGCATTGCATGTATATGGCACATAAGTATCAGTTACCGTCAACAGATCATGTTTCAGTGACAACACCTACGATCACGGTTAAGGCGTGACGTGAAACGTCTGAGGGAAATAACCGTACTCTGACATTTAGTTTTTTTTAAATAAATTTAAATTGTATGCACTTACTCACTTGACATATGCGTAATATGTTGATGTAAACCTGTCATTCGCAGCGTTGTATCAGATAGTTAAAGTCAAACATGTGAACAGAAAAAAATACATAGACGTCGAAAACAGTAACAGATCAACAGAAGAAACAGCTCGACGTCGGATACAGTTACAAGTTAACAGAGGAAACAACTAGACGTCAGTAACAGTAACATATCAACAGAGAAAATAACAAGACATCAGTAACAGTAACATATTAACAATGTAAGATACTGAGCCTGAGTGGGGTATTCATATTAAACTGCGGCATGGTATCTCAGTGTGCTAGCACTATAAAATCGGCATCAGTCCGGACTAGTACAAACAGCCACACACACACACACACACACACACACACACACACACACACACACACACACTCGCTATATCAGTACACTAATCGGGGACTCGACGTTAAGCCCGATTTCACCTTACCTCGCCTCTCTCCTTTGACATGCAGGTACACCGTCGCGTCACTATCGTCCTCTCCACTTTCATTGACACATCCACATGACCAGGGGTTATACAAGTGACCCGATTGACCATCATCTTAACTGTAGGATCATAGGATGACGTTAAGGCACGTGCTGCAGAGGAACACGAGGAGCATGATGCTGTCCTGATTACAAGGGTGTGGTCCTCGAAATGTTGCTCCTCATTGTCCCCTAGGACACAGCAAATAACACCTACCCGCTCATCATACATGGGTATTGTATTTCGAGACAAATCAATGGTTTCGGAATTTTCTAACAAACGTACTTCGTTTTACTGAACATTAGGAGGAATAGGGGATGAGTTATTTGTCGCTGGAGACGTATGAAGTTAAGATTCCCTGTTTTCATCATGTATTTATTTAGTTACCTCTCTGTTGTTCAATGGAATCCTAGAACGGACATTGTCGCGTTGTCGCACTGTCGCATTGTTACGGAATCCTAGAAGGGACATTGTCGCGTTGTCGCATTGTTACGGAATCCTAGAAGGGACATTGTCGCGTTGTCGCGTTGTCGCATTGTTACGGAATCCTAGAAGGGACATTGTCGCATTGTCGCATTATTACGGAATCCTAGAAGGGACATTGTCGCGTTGTCGCGTTGTCGCATTGTTACGGAATCCTAGAAGGGACAGTGTCGCATTGTCGCATTATTACGGAATCCTAGAAGGGACATTGTCGCGTTGTCGCGTTGTCGCATTGTTACGGAATCCTAGAAGGGACATTGTCGCGTTGTTACGGAATCCTAGAAGGGACATTGTCGTCTAGGGCGCCTCAATTCGCTGTGCAGAGTTGCGTCCCTTGGGCACACCAGAAACTTATGATTGTGGGTTCGAATCCCGGTTCGCCCCGATTATGTTCCTAGGTTTGTCAGCACCATACCCGTACTCGTGGGTTTCACCGAAGTAGTAAACGTCTGAGACCTGCATCACGTCGGGTTTTCCTCCCACATTAAGCTGACACGCCGTGATATAACAGGAATAATATTGAAAGCGGCGTTAAACCCAACTCACTCACTCACTCACTCACTACATCTCCCCATATCCACATGACCTCAAAATCCGTTTTGCTACAAACATGTAAGACCACATATTCGCCACATTTAGAAATAGAAATACCAACTGATCCTCTCCCCCGGTACAAAAACTGTATCTATGAACACATCTGGAAATGTTATGACCAATGGACGACTGCAGCCCTAGACCCTTAAAGGGAACTCGAATCGAGCCATATTGGCAGTCCCGGTAAATGTGATCCAAGCTATTCAAAAGACCACTTAGCTTGTCAGCCAATTCAAATCGTACGATGTACTGGAATATCAAGGAGTTAATAATTGTCATACTTACAGAAACAGTCTCCCAGTTCACACATGGAGCGAGTTACAGCTATATGTTATGGAGTTACATAGGTTTAACTTCCGGTCGGGCGGGCTGCGTACGCAGCCGGAACTTAGTCAGTTTTCAGCGGCCACGCGGCCTTCAGCACTGCCTAAGAAATTGGGTTTCATTATTGTTTTGTTTTCTTTACTCAAAATCAGTGACTATATGAGTAGGTCTCACGGAACGCCAATGCCGTAACCATGGGGAAGGCCAAACTGAAGAAAGCTTTGCCTCAGGCGGAATTCGAGGAAAATAAATTTTCCGAGTGGGTTGACACAAACGAGCTGTCGTTCGCTACCATAGGGGAACTGTCCGCCACACATGGTCCGGTTCACACATGGGCCTAGTTACAACAGACCTCGACTGAAGCTGTCCATCGAACCTAGGCGCTGAGCCCTTTAATTATCAATGATACGCCATTCGTGGGGGCAATATCATTTTTCGAGGATTCACTGTATATTATTCATCCTAGTTGCCATAAAATGCGATTATCCGATGAAACAGATTCCATATGACGTAAAAGGCAAATAGCAGTAAAAAAAGTGATATAAATGGATGACTTTAATCAGTGTGAGTGAGTGAGTGAGTGAGTATGGTTTTACGCCGCTTTTAGCAATATTCCAGCAATATCACGGGTCGAACCCGGGTCTTCGGCGTGACGAGCGAACGCTTTAACCACTAGGCTACCGGACCGCCCCAATTAAATCATTGATGACACCAGGTGTTCGCAAAATACATCTGAATGATATTTATGATATAAACAAACACAAACGTACAATCGTTTATGTTCGTTAGATTAATTTTAAATTCCCAATACAGTTTTGTTAAATAGCTAGGTTTTAATTCGCGGAAATAATCCACTGATTGACATCATGAGCAACGATTCATGTAACGTGTAGGAGTATGAATACCCACAGGCATTGACGTTTAATGTGTCTTACCTTGTTAAAACTATTACTAGCTCTGTGATCACATCATCTTTATGGCATAGAAGTCAGTACAAAGGAATAAATCCGGCGACTGACGTGCGAATAGCGACAAGTAGCAGACAGTTGATGGACATTCATGTTTCTCAATAGATCAAGTCACACAAAATATCGGAATGGGTCAGTATTAACTATGATGGATGAATATGGAAATATGATGACAGTGCAGGTATATTCAGTAAATGAATATTTGCAACAAGTAAACACTTGCACTTGCTTGTGTATAAAACGTTTGTACATTTTACAAGATAAATATATCCTCGTCTATAGTGAGGGAGCATCGATGGAATGGGTCCATTTAAAGTATATCATCATAGCATAACATATGTCATCATGATATATGTCCGGCTGTAAAATACATACACAGTAAACTACTTTTATAACGAACACGCTTATAACGAAGTGACGGGTATAACGAATTTATCTTTGGGCCCTGGCCATTTGATGTACAAATGCTGTACATATGCTTTATAACGAACTACGGTTATAGCGAACTAAAATTATTGATCCTTTGGGTTCGTTATAACAGTAGTTTACCGTATAACGAATATCCTGTAGCCGCACGTCTTTTCGAACAAAAAATGGCAAAATCGTAATGAAAAGTCAGTTTACTTCTTCTATTAAAAGACAAAAAAGAAACAAAATAAAGTTTATTTTAGAAAATCACACCAAGTGATACAGAAAACATACGAAAAGTTTTTTGTAAAGTCAAATTGAATTTATTATTGATGTATAAATTGATGTCGGCATTGTACGGCTGAAATATTGCCGATGTGAAATGTAAGTGTTCATCTTAATCAAACAAATATACACTCTATGTATACAAACTACGTGGTTTGCTGTTTTAATAAGTGAAGGGACATGATCAGTTCCTTCAGGAATACATATTCTTCTACAGTTGGATGTCTACAAGATTTATTTTGAAACCGCGTCTTGCCTTTTTTCACTGACAGATTTGCAAATTAACACGAAATTGAATTCATCACGAACATTTTGATTGCAAATAGCACAGATTATGGGTTTTTTTCTTTCCATATTGCTTCAACGGGGAGATTTTCTGTACTGTTTCTCTTTAGCCCGGTGCGTAAATTATTAGGTAAGAAGAAGAAGAAGAAGAAGAAGAAGAAATCATTATATCATTGTCATAGAAAAGATTGAGGAAAAACATGGCATACATGCACGCATAAATGTCACGCGTGCATCCCAATACCAAGTTGCCCGACTCCCCATTAATATTGTTCTCGGTGCCTTAGGTCTGGTACCTCCCAATCTGTTGACTGTCATTGGGAGAGTACCCGGGTTTGCTGCCAGGATCACAGTCCTTCTGACAATCTGGGTAATGCAGAAGGCTGCAGTGTTGGGGAGTCTTCACATTCTCCGAAAGGTTCTCTGTGGGTCCCTTTCGCTGTATGGGATGCGTGTAGATGGGGCAAGGTCCCTGAGCCGAACCAGCCTGACATGTGCCAGGATCACCCGAACCCTTTTAGGTGCATTTATTTATTTTAATCTGTAAAAAAAAAAAAATTGATCTGTTAATGCGAGCTTACAATTAAATTTAACAAATCAATACTTAGCACATTTTTTTGTTTTACCTCATGTAGTTCATTCCAGAATCGGGGTAGCGGATTCCCGACATGGGTACAATGTGTGAAGCCCATTTCTGGTGTCCCCCGCCGTGATATTGCTGGAATATTGCTAAAAGCGGCGTAAAACCAAACTCACTCACTCACTCACTCACACAACGGAGTCGTGATACCATACACGAACACCTGTGGTGTGGTTAGTTTAATTAATGTGTTTAATTATAAAGCATGTCAAACTACTTAAATAGAGGCATGGAGTCAGATCTAAAGGTGGCAAGCATCGGATTTGTCACCTTTTTACCACCTTTTCTCAGGCGAACAATTGACTTGCCTTTGCCTGTGTTTGTGACGGTGCCACCGGTAGACAGGATACACTTACCTTTCCGCGAATACCAAACTCACTCACTCACTCATTCCAGAATCTTGTGAATTACAGTTATCACGTTACAGCAGTCTTCATTACTGACAGACAGATTATACATGAATCACTGACGAATGTATACACAATACAGTAAACTACGGTTATAACGAACACGCTTATAACGAACTGACGGATATAACGAAGTTACTTTTTAGTCCCGACAATTTGCTGTAGTTATGCTGTATCTATGCTTATAATGAACCACGGTTATAACGAACTAAAAATAGCAGTCCCTTCGAGTTCGTTATAACCGTAGTTTACTGTATGTGGCAAACTGTGTGGAAACGACAGCATTGTACTCCAGTAAGACATCATTCTAAAGTCTTCCACTTTAAGCTGACACATAATGACATTGCTGATCACGAAACACTATTCAAGGCGGCGTTAAACAAAGCTCTCACTCACGATTTTACAGATATGTGAATTTATGAATCTGTTCTATTCTGGACACTACAGTGGAAAACTCAAACGAAGTCAACCTCTATCATTAAAGGGCTACGTAGAAACGCCAAAGACCCGAGTTCGATTCTACAAAAGGGTACAATATGTGAAGCCCAATTCTGGTGTCCCTCGTCGTGATATTGCTGGAAAATTGCTAAAAGCGGCGGAAAACCTTATTCACTCACTCACTCACTCACTCAGATACAGCTACCTGATCATGAATTCTTCAAGTTAGAAAGTTCATCTTCAAGCACGTACACAAAAACGATCAATGTGCAAAACCAAACAAACAACTGACGACCTTGTCTTCACACACCTTCATGAAATCAGGGGATTATCTGTGCTCCAAGCGATACGTGCTATACCCACGCATCTGGTGCTGGACCCGTGAAGGACCAGGGTAGAATAGGTGGCAACTATGCTTGTCGTAAAAGGCAACTAACGGGATCGGGTGGTCAGGCTCGCTGACTTGATTGATGCATGTCATCGTATCCCAATTGCGTGGAACGCTGCACATGATATCAATCACTGGATTGTCTGGTCCAGACTCGATTATTTACAGACTGACGTCATATATCTAGAATATGAGTGCGGCGTTAAACAACAACATGTGGTGCTGACGTCACACGACCAGTAAGGAACTTAATTGTAAGAACAAGACACATCGTGCAGGTTAGAAAATATATTGGATCACGTGTTGTATGATTTAATTTGACGTCATCTAAATTAATTCTATCAATCACCATGTGTTCATAATATGGACGGTTTGTAAAATAACAATAGCGTTATTTTAAGTATGTATGTTTGTTATTCTAGACTATTTTAAACAAGAGCAGCCAACTGCATTTCTACTTCTCATATATTCATCGTAGAACCATACATATACCAGTCACGGTATTCGGAGCGTGATGTGAAAACAGTTCATGAAATTAAAGAAAGAAGTGCCTTGATTTACTGTGCAGCTGCTGTGTCGGACTCGTATACAGGCCTCATTCGGACGGAAGCCTGTCTATCGGGAGATTACAGTTTGGACATATATCCTCATATACATTACTCTGTATACATGATTCGATAGGCATTTCGGACAGTCTCAGTGCCCGGATAAACAGGCTTAACTATAGACAAATATATCAATTTATCACAGCAATCTTTTTTCTTTTTTTTGTTATTTAACGCCCCACTCAGCAATATTCCAGCTATATGACGGCGGTCTGTAAATAATCGAGTCTGGACCAGACAATCCAGTGATTGACATCATGAGCATCGATCGATATCTATGCAATTGGGTTACGATGACATGCATCAACCAAGTCAGCGAGCCTGACCACCCGATCCCGTTAGTCGCCTTTTACTGCAAGCATGGGTTGCTAAAGCGCTATGCCATCCCAGGTCTCACATACATCTATACATCAATATATCTTTCGACCACCTCCGTAGTCGAGTGGTAGAGCGTCCACCAGGATAGCGGAAGGGTCGAGTTTCGATCCCCGGCCGCGTCATACCAAAAGACGTTCAAAGATGGTATTTGTTGTTACCCTGTCTGGCGCTCGGCATTAAGGGGCTAAATCAAGGACTGGTCGGCTTCGAGTCACTATACTGTGTCCATATCTTTCTCGAAACAAATGCATCCACAATTGACATCTACACAGTATTTAGAGATCGCTCTAGACATCTGAACTTGTATAAGGCTGTCTGATCAGACTACCTTAACATGACAAGAATACATTTAAGGTGCGTCTCTACGTGATTACCTCAATGCATTTGTATAATAATCAATGCATAAAATCGTTAGTTGTTAAATTGTAACATTTCTATAAATCTTAGTCAGCGATTACAACAAAGGCGCTTGTTTCGGTTCCCACACTCCAAGACGAGAGCCAGTTAAGGAACCTT